TTCTGAAACAGAGCAAATAATCTTTCATCCTAACCTAACTGATGAACATTATTATTGACCAAGAAAAGATATTATTTTCCTAAATAACTTAAGCATCTCCTCTATATTGGAACAAGTGGCCTGAAGTGTCTTGTGGATATAAAAAGAAATGCTTGTATTGACGGCATGTATATCAATGCGAAATATTCTTACTAACTTTTTACACTTAACATAAAAAATATGAGCATGAGAATGCTTACATAAGGGGTATTATTCAATCAGGTAATGTTGGTGTATTTCGATACTCTATGAAGACTTTAGGCGTCTTTCTATCTTTGAATTTCTGAGGACTCCTGCTAAGAAATGATATGGCGTCGTTTATCGCTTGCTCGTTTATTAATAGGAGATCACTCCAAAGTTATAGTTTTGCTGTCACTGACCACTGTTTCCTTCCTTAGGAAAATATCATTTTAAAAAACCCATATTTAAAGGTGCATCGGATCCGAAACCAAGCGAAATCCTTTGGGGAAAAAACAGAGTTTTTTATGCTTCAATTTTACCCCAAGATCATGTTCACGGTTTAATATCATGTAGAGCATAATTGACCCTTACGCGACTTACATCGTAGTTTGTATTTGTGATTCCTTGTTTTCAGTGTTTTCAAAACAAATAATTCTGTTAAATGCTACAAGTTCAGAATGGCAGGGGGTTATTCCCCAACCGAGGAATGGCACTCCTAATCCGGCGGATGAACAAGAATGTAAAAGTCCGGCCGACAATGAATGGGGAAAGCCAGTCACCATTTTGTGCACATAATATCAATTCTAATTTTGCACCTTTAGTGCGGAGGAGAGGCATTAACAGATAAGTGAACTGTTTTTTTGCTCTTTTTCAAAGACAATTCCTCGGTCAAGATTTTCTCCCTCTTTTTGAAACTATCGGGCTTTTTTGACTAAGGACTTACTCACGATGGAACTAGACGGTAAATTTTATAGGAAGTACCAGAATCAATGAGAATGTAGAAAAATGTTATAATGTAACATTAATCAGAAAGTTTTGGTTGCTGGAAATCCTCCTTATTCTTTGAAAGTCTATTTTTATGACTAATATGATTATTATTGTGATCATTTTATTATTCCATTATCTGAGTTTATTTTTACCTTGCAAGTTTACTCGGTGCCAGCAACTAAGACCATCTGTTATTTCGAGTAATTCATTTGCGCAAATATAAGCTAATAAATGCTGACAAATGTCACCCCTGATGATTTCTTTTGCCTTTTTTTATTATGACGCGTAAGTTCAGTCTGCTTTGAAAATGGTCAGTTTGTCTTTTTATAATCAAATCTATAATTCCAAACTATTTTCCAAACCAACTGAGAAGAAACTCCTGAGTGATTTCACCATATGGTGATTACGTATAAACTTTAAATTGTAGGCTCCATAAATTCATCTTAATTCTATTCTCGAATACTTAATTTAGACCAAATTATTGTTACTGAACTTACTTGCATCAAAGCAGTTTCATTTTCCGATTATTANGGTCAGTTTGTCTTTTTATAATCAAATCTATAATTCCAAACTATTTTCCAAACCAACTGAGAAGAAACTCCTGAGTGATTTCACCATATGGTGATTACGTATAAACTTTAAATTGTAGGCTCCATAAATTCATCTTAATTCTATTCTCGAATACTTAATTTAGACCAAATTATTGTTACTGAACTTACTTGCATCAAAGCAGTTTCATTTTCCGATTATTAGGGTGTTGTTCCTTCATCTAAGAATCGGTTTGAAAGTTGTAAGGAAAAAAATCACATCTTTCCACAGACTTATCAATCATTTTGCTTTTTACGATAATTTGCATAAAACCAAAACCTCAGTATAGACATCAAACTTTCATGGAATATATTTGACGATCATGGTCGATCTCAGCTGATGAAAGGAACCGCTATCACGTCAATACAACTGAGCCACTTGTAGCGTGACTACTTGGCGTGACTCTAAAAGTTTCAAGTCGAGTACAAGCCGTGGGGGCCGTGGGGAGAGGTCTCTGGGGTCCTGGGCCCAGGCCTCCACTTAAATTTTTTTTATTTTAGACTGATAGGGATCTTGAGCAAAGGCTTTTTTGAGCGACACACGTCAACCCGGAAGTGAGGTCTTTTTCCTTTTAAATCACCTTTACCTTTACTATCATAGAGACGATTTGTCCAAAAATTTAGGCAAAAACCACAGTCTAAAAATGAAAAAAAGACCACATCCGGTTGACGTCCGTCGCTCAAAAACGCTGTTGCTTAAGCTCCCTAATAATCACCGATGTGAGGGCCCTCCACTTGCTTGTAACAAGACTGAGGGATGAAGTCCTTTCAACCTCTCCGCTTGCTTCAATAAATAACTTCACCTTTGCAAAGTATAATCGATAATCAAGTATAGGTTATCCAGATCAAGAAGCTGTTGTCCCGGGGCTGTTGTTGCATTGGGCCTGGATTGACTGAAGGTGAAATGAAAATATCAATATCGTTGTGGGTGACTCAATGGTTGAGTGTGTTTTTCTCTCTCTATCGCTTACAGCAATAACAACTTTTTGTTTCTACATGAACATACCGTATCTATGTACGAAGCTGGGGAAGTAAGCGACTCGCAACGCGAACCCCCGAGTTACCCCCGCGGGACAGCCCGCAAAATGCTACTCGAAAATAGTAGTAGAACTTGGGCTATCACGGACACTCGCTTCCAGGTCTCTCGCCGAAGATTTGTCACACAAGAACAACACGAGAACAACATTAGTGTTTTGTTAGAGATTGATTTGTGGTAGTTTAGCCTTGCGGTGATTTTGGATCATAGATGGATAAGAAAACAAGAGATAAAGAAGCAGGTGGAGCGAGCAGTGATGAAGACGAAGCTTTCGAAAGCGCAGATGAAGGAGAGGAAGGCTCCAAAAGTTCGAGACCGTCATTCGCCACGTCAGCTGGAGATGATTCCTCAAATTCCACGTCGAAAGAACTGGTTGGCAAGAATGATACGTCAGAAAAACCTCTGGCTATTTCAGCGCGCGATAAGAATTCGGAAACAACAGAACTAGATAAGGAGGTCCCTAAAATGGCCGAAAATATGGCAGAAGAAACGAAGGCAGCTGAGGATACTGCTGAGGATATCCCCAGCGTTGTTACGGAAAGCTCTCCAAAAGATGTGTCTGGTAACAGCGAAGAGGGAAATAAGGAAGAAACTGACAGCAGTTCAATTAAAGACACCGAGGATGAAAAAAGAGATGCTGAAGTTGAGAAAGAGAATGAACAGAAACAAGAGAGTGGTGAAGAGAAATCATCTACGACTGGGATGGAACAAGCAGAGGAAAGTTCAGCCGAAAGAGATAGTCAAGGACAAAATGAGCAATCGTCTGTTGTATTAGACCAAAAACCTTTTAAAGAAAATGTGGAATCATACACCAGTTCAGCTGGTGATATTGAACCTATCAGGTACTCTGTGCTCGTGTGAATGATGCTTAATTTTGTTGTACATAATAAATTATTGCATGGTGGATGGGAGGTGGTGGTGGGGGGTGGGGTGCTATTTTCACCGATAGACCACTATTTTCCACTATTTCCTTTACCTATACTTTTATATATCAATGAAATGATATGAAAATGTTCAAAACCGAAGTAGAACCACCTACCATAGATGTCTTGAGTAGTTTATCTTTAATGTTTTGAACATTTTAAAGTACAACCACCAACCATTTATTTGTGACGTTAAAAAATGTTTACATAAACAGAATATATTGAAGTAGATCAGGCTAGGTGAAGTCATCTTATATTTAAGCTGTTGATTAATAAGCATGCAAGAATTTAGGCTTCCTTCTGATGAAAAGTTACCGCATACATTATCAACAGTTTGCGGCCTGTCCCATTCGAATGCTGTAACTTTTTAAAAATATTTTTGTTGTACAGCTCAACACAGAAGCCAGCTAAAGAGACTTCTTCTTCCAGTGGGGGCTGGGGATGGGGAGGATGGGCTTCAGTACTGTCCCAAGCTACAGCCTCTGTGACGTCAGGTCTGTCTTCCGTTATTGAGACAGTAGAGACCTCATTAGGTGTTCCTGACCCTGAAGAAATGGCACGTAAGGTACGGGAAGAAGAACAAGCAGTGAAAGAGAAAGCATTGGAGAAAAGAAAAGAGGATGAAAGCCTTGTGGAAAGCAACAATGAAAATGTAAATAAAGATGTTGCATCAGGTTGGTATAGACAAAATAATGTGAATGAAAAAAATATATTTGACTGAAGTTGAGTGCAAGACATTCTCATTAGCAGCAGTCCATTGGGAAGCAAAATAAAAACCTATGCTGAAACAAAGAATAATCTGTTTCCCCCTTAATTTTTAGCATTTAGCCATGCTAGCTACAAAGGTTATCTTCTTACTATTTGAAATACTGTAAAATTTGGAGTCCTGTAGTGTCCTATTTTTTGACCGCTTGCTGGAATACATTCATGGTGTTTTGTGTTGTTGTTTTTTTGGGTATAAGATCTGTTTTCATTTTCTTTTAGTAGCAAGCAGGGACTGCCATCTGAAACCACTTGCTCTTTCACAGGGCAACTGAGAAGGAGTTTGTTCCCAGCTAGTAGACTGGTTACTATACCTACATGCATCTCTCTAGTCGGCAATATCTTCTAGAAGTAGTTGTCGTCAGTAAAATGTATTTTCTTTTTTTTTTAAGCAGCTGGTGAATCGTTCTTTTCTGCATTTGGTGTATCAAGTTTAACAAGTGTAGTGCAGAACACTGGGAAAGATTTAATGTCAGGTGGACTTGATGCCTTAGAGTTTATTGGTAAAAAGACAATGGATGTTCTTGCTGAAGGAGATCCTGGATTGAGACAAAAAAGAGAAAAACTTACAGGCAAAGGAGCATCCCTGTCCCAGGTATCACTTTTTCTATTTTACCAGCAATTATGTGAAACACTTAGTTTCACAGAGAGTTATTTTTATTTTTTGATTGCAAGAACATATTTAGAATTTAACGTTTAATGCATTCATGTTTTAAAAGAATAAGAATGAAGAAATAAGTTAAATATAACAACAAAAACAGTTGGCTTTGTTGGCTGAATTGCATTCTACTTGGAGACTGATCTTTTGAATGCAAGCCCTCTGAACCAATAGTTATCGACTCACTAGGTAGACGTTTTAAGACAAATTCTCATTAGTAAAGGACCCTTACATAGATTTTTGATGAAACTTGGTTGACTGATGTGACAAGTTAAAATGTAGTAAAAAGTGGGGATCTCTCTGCTCATTTTCATGGTACAATGCGAGAATTTCTTTGTCTCTTATAAATAATATGAAACAAAGGAAATTCTGTATCAAACTGGGGTGCTGTACTGAATTAACCTGAGAATGGGTTTAACCTTAATTTTTCCTAAATTTTGACCATCTTATATGTGATCTCAGATTTTAAAGGAGGCAAGGGAAGAGTCAGAACAAAAAGCGGCAGCATCTGAAGGGGGACCTGAGAAGACCACGCCCACTGTGGACCTGTTGAGTGAGTTTGACAAGTTCCAAGGACTTGCTCATTTGGAAGCACTAGAGATGTTGTCACGTGACAGTGAGGTTAAGGTGAGTTCCTCAAATTCCACGTCGAAAGAACTGGTTGGCAAGAATGATACGTCAGAAAAACCTCTGGCTATTTCAGCGCGCGATAAGAATTCGGAAACAACAGAACTAGATAAGGAGGTCCCTAAAATGGCCGAAAACATGGCAGAAGAAACGAAGGCAGCTGAGGATACTGCTGAGGATATCTCCAGCGTTGTTACGGAAAGCTCTCCAAAAGATGTGTCTGGTAACAGCGAAGAGGGAAATAAGGAAGAAACTGACAGCAGTTCAATTAAAGACACCGAGGATGAAAAAAGAGATGCTGAAATTGAGAAAGAGAATGAACAGAAACAAGAGAGTGGTGAAGAGAAATCATCTACGACTGGGGTGGAACAGGCAGAGGAAAGTTCAGCCGAAAGAGATAGTCAAGGACAAAATGAGCAATCGTCTGTTGTATTAGACCAAAAACCTTTCAAAGAAAATGTGGAATCATACACCAGTTCAGCCAGTGATATTGAACCTATCAGGTACTCTGTGCTCGTGTGAATGATGCTTAACTTTGTAGTACATCATAAATTATTGCATGGTGGATGGGTGGTGGTGGTGGGGGGTGGGGTGCTATTTTCACCAAAAGACCACTATTTTCCACTATTTCCTTTACCTATACTTTTATATATCAATGAAATGATATCAAAATGTTCAAAACAGAAGTAGAACCACCTGCCATAGATGTCTTGAGTAGTTTATCTTCAATGTTTTGAACATTGTAAAGTACAACAACCAACCATTATTTTATTTGCCACGTTAAAAAATGTTTACAAAAACAGAAGAACTTGAAGTAGATCAGGCAAGGTGAAGTCATCTTATATTTAAGCTGTTGACTAATAAGCATACAAGAATTTAGGCATCCTTCTGGCCCCGGTTGTTCGAAAGCTGGATAGCGCTATCCACCGGATAAATCTCTATCCAGAGGATAAGTATTAGGGAAACCGATTGCACTATCCATTGGATAGAGATTTATCCGCTGGATAGCGCTATCCAGCCTTTGAACAACCGAGGCCTGATGAAAAGTTACTGCATACATCACCAACAATTTGCAGTCTGTCCCATTCGAATGCTGTAACTTTATAATTAAATATTTTTGTTGTACAGCTCAACACAGAAGCCAGCTAAAGTGACTTCTTCTTCCAGTGGGGGCTGGGGATGGGGAGGATGGGCTTCAGTACTGTCCCAAGCCACAGCCTCTGTAACATCAGGTCTGTCTTCCGTTATTGAGACAGTAGAGACCTCGTTAGGTGTTCCTGACCCTGAAGAAATGGCACGTAAAGTAAGGGAGGAAGAACAAGCAGTGAAAGAGAAAGCACTGGAGAAAAGAAAAGAGGATGAAAGCCTTGTGGAAAGTAACAATGAAAATGTGAATAAAGATGCTGCATCAGGTGGGTATAGACAAAAATTAATAACGTGAATGAAAAAAATATATTTGACTGAAGTTTAGTGCAAGACATTCTCATTAACAGCAGTCCATTGGAAGCAAAATAAAAACCTATGCTGAAACAAAGAATAATTTGTTTTCCCCTTAATTTTTAGCATTTAGCCATACCAGCTACAAAGGTTATCTTCTTACTATTTAAAATACTGTTATATTTGGAGTCCTGCAGTGTCCTATTTTTTGACCACTTGCTGGAATACATTCATGGTGTTTTGTGTTGTTAATTTTTGGGTATAAGATCTGTTTTCATTTGCTTTTAGTAGCAAGCAGGGACTGCCATCTGAAACCACTTGCTCTTTCACAGGGCAACTGGGAAGGAGTTTGTTCCCAGCTAGTAAACTGGTTACTATACCTACATGCATCTCTCTAGTCGGCAATTTCTTCTAGAATTAGTTGTTGTCAGTAAAATGTATTTTCTGTTTTTTTAAGCAGCTGGTGAATCGTTCTTTTCTGCATTTGGTGTATCAAGTTTAACAAGTGTAGTGCAGAATACTGGGAAAGAGTTAATGTCAGGTGGACTTGATGCCTTAGAGTTTATTGGTAAAAAGACAATGGATGTTCTTGCTGAAGGAGATCCTGGATTGAGACAAAAAAGGGAAAAACTTACAGGCAAAGGAGCATCCCTGTCCCAGGTATCACGCATTCTATTTTACCAGCAATCATACGTAACACTTAGTTTTGCAGAGAGCTATTTTTATTTTTTGATCGCAAGAACATATTTGGAATTTAATGTTTAATGCATTCATGTTTTAAAAGAATAAGAATGAAGAAATAAATTAAATATAACAACAAAAACAGTTGGTTTTATTGGCTGAATTGCATTCAACTTGGAGACTTATCTTTTGAATGCAGGCCCTCTGAACCAATAGTTATCAACTCACTAGGTAAACATTTAAAGACAAATTCTCATTAGTAAAGGACCCTTACATAGATTTTTGATGAAACTTGGTTGACTGATGTGACAAGTTAAAATGTAGTAAAAAGTGGGGATCTCTCTGCTCATTTTCATGGTACAATGCTAGAATTTCTTTGTCTCTTATAAATAATAATATGAAACAAAGGAAATTCTGTATCAAACTGGGGTGCTGTACTGAATTAACCTGAGAATGGATTTAACCTTAATTTTTCCTAAATTTTCACCATCTTATATGTGATCTCAGATTTTAAAGGAGGCAAGGGAAGAGTCAGAACAAAAAGCAGCAGCATCTGAAGGGGGACCTGAGAAGACCACGCCCACTGTGGACCTGTTGAGTGAGTTTGACAAGTTCCAAGGACTTGCTCATTTGGAAGCACTAGAGATGTTGTCACGTGACAGTGAGGTTAAGGTGAGNAATAAGTTAAATATAACAACAAAAACAGTTGGCTTTGTTGGCTGAATTGCATTCTACTTGGAGACTGATCTTTTGAATGCAAGCCCTCTGAACCAATAGTTATCGACTCACTAGGTAGACGTTTTAAGACAAATTCTCATTAGTAAAGGACCCTTACATAGATTTTTGATGAAACTTGGTTGACTGATGTGACAAGTTAAAATGTAGTAAAAAGTGGGGATCTCTCTGCTCATTTTCATGGTACAATGCGAGAATTTCTTTGTCTCTTATTAATAATATGAAACAAAGGAAATTCTGTATCAAACTGGGGTGCTGTACTGAATTAACCTGAGAATGGGTTTAACCTTAATTTTTCCTAAATTTTGACCATCTTATATGTGATCTCAGATTTTAAAGGAGGCAAGGGAAGAGTCAGAACAAAAAGCGGCAGCATCTGAAGGGGGACCTGAGAAGACCACGCCCACTGTGGACCTGTTGAGTGAGTTTGACAAGTTCCAAGGACTTGCTCATTTGGAAGCACTAGAGATGTTGTCACGTGACAGTGAGGTTAAGGTGAGTGCGTTAGAATATCATAAAAGTTAGCTTGATTGACAGATGCACAAAGACGAAGAGGGGTGGGGATGACGGCAAGGAGCACTCAAAAGGGGAGGACCAGGAAGTTTTTTTGGTCCTATCTCTTCACCGACGACCAATAGGCAACATTCGATACATTAAAATTCAGCATGATAGCAAGTTTTAGAGGGCACAATCAAAGAAAATGAATAAACCTTTGTTTGTATCCTCTAAGACTCGCTATTATGCTGAATTTTGATATGTCGAAAGTGGCCTATTCTCATTACCCCTTATCTTCTATGTTCTCTTGTAAGACCTGCCACTCACTGTACTTCCACTCATAGCAAAAACAGATAAGGTGATAAGCCAATTAGACAATAATTATTGGAATGCCCAGCACACATAAGTGGGGTAACTTGGGCGAGCAAATATTGGCAATGGACTTTTGACTAGTCGAATAAGGACAGTAAGTGGGGCAAGTTTTCTTAACCACTCACAAAGGATGATAACGCTTAAGTCAAACTTATGTGCATTTTATAAGACAACTGTAACAAGGTCATTGTGTTTTGTTGTCAGCTGGAGTCTCACATCATCGATTTAACAGAGGAGGAACTTGCTGCAGTCAAACCCCTGCTACGAGCTGTGGAGGAAGTATTTCACATTGACGAAAACGATGGTGATGATGATCTCACTGAGGGAGAATTCAAATCTGAAGTTGTAGAAAACGTCAAGTCCCTCAATTTACCTTTTTCAGCAGACAAAATATTAGCCTGTCAGGAAAAAGCTCGAGCATGGATAACAACATGTGTACAGGAACAAGACAGCACACCTGGAAGCAAAGAAGGACTGGAAATCTATAGTGAAGCAGTGTCCAGTATGGCGGAACTTACAGCACGCTCTGTTGAACTGTTTCATAAGTTTACTGAACTTTTACTTCATAAAGTAGAACAGCCCGCACAAACATCCTCTTTAGTGCGGGCACAGTGCATGCGTAGGATGACAGAGACAGTTCTGGAGGAGATTTCTGCACAGGCTACACACTTTGCTGGTTGTTTGAATACCGCTGCTGATGACTCAGATAACCCAGACTCAGTAAATTCATTGATAACGACTTTGTATCTTGATTCATCCACTAGTGCAGACTATCTGCGGAACTCTCTCAAACTTCTGCGACCAGTATTGCAGCTTTCATCACTAAATGAGAAGGATGCGTCGTGATAAATTATATAGATGGCTCTAATACTACGGAACCACGCCCTTAAGTAAAACTAACCTTTCCAGCTCTAGCGCATTTTTTCTGTATCATGATAAAGCTAACCTTCTCCTTTTCGCGGCTGTCATGATCTAGTTAGTTGATTGCTAAAACTCACTTGTGTGGGATATTGTGAAAGGTGTATGAACGAATGGGCTGGTGGAGGGTAACATGGATGGCAAGAGGATGAAATATCAAGCTCAATAAAGAAGAAAGAAAACTAGAAAAAAAGTTTTTTTATTATTAAGAAGTAGAGAGTCCCTGTCTCTGAAGAATCCATAGCATTGTTCACAGTTGCTGCTGGGATAGAAAACTCGAAGGGCATCCCTACTCTACCCCTACCCAAGCTTCTTTGTCCTTTCCATTATCCCTTATATCTTTATTTACCAGGCTACTAAGTAAAGAAGTACTTTACCCAGGCTTCATTATTGGGAATAGTGGTGACTGCATGTTTACATCAGGGGAGAAAGTTTCACCACAAAGCTTGCACTCCCTCTGCATTGAAGGCTGGCCTTTTCATATCTCGCAAACTGGGCTGAAATTTCTCATCTGAACATACACTGTGAACAGGTGGCTAGCCTGTGGTACATGCACTAGATGAAGGGAGCTGACGCAAATTTTTCAGCTCTGATACATCCAATTCTAATTTCTTTGCACTATCAGGAGCTACATACCACACCCAATTGATTTTCATAATGACTACATTACCTTTCACCCATGCAGCAATGACAGAACACCCAAGTATGCCAAACAGGTATATTATATCTAAGAAAACACAGCAAAAGACAGTAAAATTTGGTTCAATTGTTTTATTCACTGCTTGAACAGTACCCAATTAACAAATAACATTGCTTCCCCTTTATGGTTCACAGAATCCGCATTAACCAGCACAGCCACCAGTGCGAGAACCAAGTTGAGGTGCTTCATACTTTAATCTAAGTTTGGTTGTGAATCTTCAGAGGCCATTCGTCAATTCGGTTGTAAATGACAAGGCTATGGAGAAAAACACTGATGGCAATGCTGGAGCAAAAAACTTTTCAAATACAAAATGACTAAAGGTACAATACTTAAGATAAAATCAGACTTCAACCATTGTAAGAAAATCTTTATTTCCTCAGTTGGGAGGGTGGTACATTGAGGCAGCAATTTACTGCCCATAAGGGCCTTTCAAGGAAGAACATTTAGTATAAGCTACTGGGAACTGCGCTGTAGCCTTAAAATTGAGTTTCCCTTGACAAACAAAAATATTTTTTTCTTAACTGTTTTTGTATTTTTTGGAAATGCAGTCAATTTATTGAATGGAAAGGTTGAACACCGCCATTATTCAACAAGGGAGTGAAAAATTGCTGCATGTTTGGCGTGGCATTCAAAAGTTCCCATGTTACTGTGGGTGTTATTACAAAAGAAAACTTACGAACAAAATAATCAAGAACAATGGATGCACATAGAGCAAGTTCTCTAAATGGCAAGTACTCAGTAAGCTGGAGTGGTATTGGACAGATGACACACAGTCGGTTCATCGACAGAGGGATTCTTTTATCAGGGTTATTTGTCGGATTTGATCTGTGGCAGTATAAACCAGTGGGTCCTGTTGGAATATCATGGCACTGCTCTGTAAAGAGTGACTATTTATCATCACCCTTTGTTTCATTTTCTTTATTATCAACACCATTATTAGACACACTAATACTACCCTTTATATCCAGCCCAGTATTCTCTACTTTACACAAATCTTTCTCTGAAGACTTCACATCTGATTCTACAGTCTTTTCTCCTAGTGTGCTAACTTCGCTCCCCTCTTTATTTTCTGTGAATTTTGATTTGCCCGCAATATTTTGCTCCTGTTTTTCTTGTGTTTTCTCTTCTTCCTTTACTGGGGATGAAAGGTTGGCATCCGTTTCCATACCATCCACCTCTTGTTCATTATCATCTTCCACATGGGCTTGGTTCTATATGGCACAACGTGGAAGCAAAGCAAAGCAAAGCAAAGCAAGCCACAATCGTACCAGAAAAAAAATACAAAGCGAAAGGGAAAACCAAAACATTAACATGTTAGTCATAAGATGGTATTTTCCTCATTGAAGATACATTGCTCCAACACCACAGTTAACAAATAATGGAAATGAATCTATTAAATACTAAGGAATTAAAAATGTGTACAATTTTATCTCTAAGAACCATCCCACTAGAAAGGACAAGGAAAGAAAAAACAGGAAAGTTCAACCTCACCTCTTTAGCATCTTGATAACACAATGAGTGGTAAGTCTGAAAAAGTAACTGGAATTTTCAGTACAAAAGTAATAAAAGAACCTGAGTCAGCAAGCAGTCAAGACCCTCAACAGAAGGACTGTCAAATGAGAAGGAGGAGGGGGGAGGGAAGGGCTCGGTTACAGTCTGGACATTAAAATAATAAATTAATAACGGGGGGGTGGAGTAGGGCTGATGATCTACATGATATGATGCCTTCCCCTGCTATTTTGTTACACACATTGGTCCAGTCAGTGTTTACACTTGACAGCTGTGACAGACATTTTTTACCAACACTACATATTAATTGTTATGCGAGAAAAATTAATAACATGCCTGCCTCATGAGGAAGCAAGATGAAGCAAATCCTGTGTTCTAATTGGCTACAGTAGCAGGTAGGATAGGCCCATCTTGCCGGCTTGGGATTTCCTGCATTGTCCCATTAGAAAAGACATTGTTTTGCCCATATGGTAAATCCTTTGTTGAACAAGCTTGTTTGGTCAAAAGAACTAAATATTTGCCTACTGGTAATCCTTTTTGCATTTTTGTGAGCCTTGACTCCAACTTGGTCCATAACAACGCACTTGGCCAATATCCAGCCACCTTGAACGAACAAGCTTGTTTGATAATACATTATTTATTAACTGAAATCCCCAGCCACTTGCATGGTGTCACTCAGCTCTATTGTAGCCTGTGAGCAAGCTCTTCATTTGGTGGAGTCGTGAGAAATCACAACGAAAGGAGATGTGAAAGCATGAGGCAGGTAAAGAAACGGAGTGAAAGTGAAAGTCTCCTTTTCCTCTGCCCCTTGTGGCTTGCTTTGATCCACAAAAATGACAGCTTGCTGGCAGGTTTGCTCTATTGCTGTACACTTGCCTTGCCATCAATTCGCACAGCAGATTTGTAGTGCCATTCTTCATTTGTCTCCTCCCAGAACTGTTCAAACTCTTCACAGCAGATATCACACTCCTGCACATGCAGAAAAATAAGTTAGTGTTATGGCCTACACAGGGGAGCTTCACATTGATAATGAACAACAACACTATAGATATAAGCAAAAAGGATATCAAGGCTACTAAAAGAGACTGGTTTGCTGTTACCGCTTCAGCCGGCGTGTCACCAGGGAGTACAGGACAGCTACCATCTCCTTCAATTCCTTCTTTTGCTTCCTTCAGTGGGTCAGGTGAGTCTACAGCCCTTGTAGAAACATCAAAGAATGAACTCCGAGCTGTCGAAACAAAAACAGACACCTAAGCTGTTATAAGCAAAAACCCAAATGCAAAGACTTTTGCAGTTGCACTGTACTTACAAGTATTGATCTGCAGGGCCCTCATCCGAAATGGAAGAGAATTATTGCATACAATTTTCTAATTTACACCATGTCAAGTTCTTGTTGTCCTAAAAGTTCTTCAGATACTCAGTACTTGGCAGCTTTTAACATGAAGTGTGAGTGAACATAAAGATCAGACCATGTGTCAAGTGGTACATGTAGCTTACAAGAGGTTAAAACAATGGAAAAGTACAGTATGAAACAATGAACTCANTAATTTACACCATGTCAAGTTCTTGTTGTCCTAAAAGTTCTTCAGATACTCAGTACTTGGCAGCTTTTAACATGAAGTGTGAGTGAACATAAAGATCAGACCATGTGTCAAGTGGTACATGTAGCTTACAAGAGGTTAAAACAATGGAAAAGTACAGTATGAAACAATGAACTCAAATACTGTAAAGCTCCCAAAGTAACGACCCCCCAAAAGAAGCGATCAAATTTCACAGGTGTTAGCAAATGCATAAAAAGAAGCACCTCTTTCTTCTGGATCTGAAATCTCCTCATAATCCAACCAGTCATTGACCATTAAGTACCACGTCCTGTGTGCTACTCTTCTACTGTCTTTCTCTCTACGATTCTTTCTGAAATGCCAATCCAAGTGTTCACCATAAATCTTAGCAGCTTCCCCAGGGAACCGCAGTCCACATGAAGAACATTGTGTGCCTTCGTAAAGGCTGTTTATCACACCATTGTGGCGCCTGTTGAAAAGAAAAAAGCTGCTGAAAGCCACGTTACTCTTTTTTGTCCGTAAAAAAACCAGCTCAAGACCACTCTTTCAGCATGCCCTGTAGTGTGGGTTTTTTACATGGGTGTCAATGCCACTTGCAAGCGGTTCTAATCCCCCTGCTTGCTTATAAAGTGCTTGTTCAAGCCATTAACATTAGAGTGCAGGACTTTCCATTAGTGCTCAGTGTAACAAGGGCCCAGTTAATTAAAAAAGGGGTTTAATGATGAAAATAATTTTAAACAAGTATGTCATGTCTCTAGACAGCCAAACAGTACATGTGGTCCTTTAAAAAAACTTAACTGGCGAATAAAATAACAATAATGTTGCTGACAATAACAAGAAGGATAGATACAGCGAGAACCTGTAAACTGGATATGTTTTTCAAAACTAGCAGACATGTGATCATCTTAGTCATTTTGGAAGAACATGTTGAAAGAATTTTCAAAACCAAATGCAAAGGACTGCATGGGGATACTGCACAAATTCTCATGCATGCTTCAAAGCCACAGGCACACCAGTGTTTCCAGCCACATAAATATTACCTTTTTAATTCATCTGGCACCAGCTTTATCACAGGAATGGGTTCATTTACCACTGATGGCTCTTTCTTGGACATGATAGCATTTAGTAAAGGAAGAACTGAAGGTACAGAAACAGGCTTCACAGGGGGTGGCTGGGGTTGTGGAATATCGGCCTGTGGGGGACCAGGTGAGGGTACATGTCGTGGGGACTCACTACCAGGTTCAGGAGTCACTTTGATTATTCCCACGTCCATTAGCTTACGGAACAGATCATCAACTGCTCTCTTTTCCATCATGGTGTTTGGAGTATGTGGAGGAATGGCCTCATCTGTAATAATTAACAGCTTGGATCAATAAAGTAATTGGGTCTTCCAGGAAAGGATAAAAGGATAACTTAATCTATTTTGATGACGTGTACTTTTACGGTAAATCTGAATTGTGTATACACTTAAATTCTGATGTCATAGATTACATTTATTTGCACTATTATCTTTGGTAATAATTATGAACCTTGTCAGTAACTTTGCTCACATATGAGAGATTAACATTCACGTTTATGCCAACCAGCAGACATGAATTTGTACCATGTGACCAAGTTTTCACCTTATTTTCTATTTACCCTTTGTTGCTTCTACACAAAAATAAGTAGTTTTACGCAAGTCTTAACCATAAGAATCATTTGGGACTGTTTTTATCTGCTTATTTTCTACTCTGGGAAATTCTCAACTTGAGTGTGCTGTTTGCGGTAAACATGAATCTTAATCTCTCTATTGTGGGTGGCTCCTCGTGAAATGCTCTGCAAACATTTTTGGAGAACTGGCTAATTTTTGCTTAAGATTTGATGAAGCCAAAACCAGTCATGGAATTATATGGATTCAACTTTTGTAGGCATCCTCCCGATGAACAGTTGCCACAGTGTCTGTAGGACCAACAAAGGTATATACGGTAGTCTGTTCTCTTCCAATTATGAAGCTAAACAAAGTTTATCAAATTGAACAAAATATTAATAGCCAACATAAATACTGAAGGGTTATTTTACTGAAAACAAACTGAAGAAAAACAAAAGCACAGACTTAAAACTCTACTCACTACAATTAACTATATCCAAACCCATTCATTGAGGCAAACGCAGCTCCAGTAAGGTTAGATTGTGAAACATTAGTGTCATCATGAAAGCTACAAATACCTTTAGTGTGTCTTGGTGGTGTTCTTGGAGTAGGAATATCTTCCATAGGTCTGCCATGTATGAAAGGAGGATTCGGGACACCATCTAATCTCGGAGGGGCATCTACATGTAATCTTGGAGGGCCTTCTAATCTTGGAGGGCCTTCTAACATTCTGTCAGATCTGATTGGTTGCATTTCAGGACCCAATGGCATAGGCCTAGAAACTGGATGTGGATCACGGTCCATTGGTGGCCTTCTAAAGTCCTCACGAGGCCTTCTCAAACGAGGCTCGTTGTCTTCAAACCTGGGGCCATCATGCCTTACTCCAGGAACACGAGAGTCTAAAGGAGCTGGGCCTCTTGGAGCAATTCTTGGATGTTCCTCAAACCTGGGTGGCCCTGGCCTGCCAGGACCAAGATTTGGAGGTTCATCAATTTCCATAGGTGCACCTGAAAAAATACAGGTGGTTTACCAAAAATATATTATTAATATTATTAGGCACTGCATTTGAAACCCATGGAGTGATTTAGGTCCATTGAATAACTATAAAATAGAGATGCTTATCCTTGTTGAGCTAGCATTTTAACAATTGCAGAAACATTTGCTTCCCTGCTATAAAATATACAAAGTACATCTATAATGACGTTTATCATTCTTACCTGGTCCATGTGACACCATGGGTCTGGGTTGATGCTCAAACTGTGGGCGAGGCATGTCTGGAGGAAATCTCATCTGTTCAGCATGTCGCTGAAGCTCAAATAACTGATGAAGTTTATCCACTAACTCATGATGCTGGTCAATTGTTATATCACCTGCTTGTAGACGTCTATCAGCCTAAAAGTAAATAATAATTATTCAAAGACTCTCTGTCTGGCAGAGCCCTAGGGCATTTACAATAATGAATGTAAAACATTAGCAATGGAACTTTTCACTTAATATCTGCGTCGAATGGCATTTCTCTTGCAGAAGAAAAATTAAGCCCTTTATGCCTTTATACTGTTTCAGATTATTTGTAAGAAGTAAGATTGTGTCAGTGTGAGACCTAGATAAAAAACAGAATATTACTTTGGCAAAAACAAATAAATGGACAGAGAAGATCCAATATCCTATTTAAACTCAAAGAGTTGGTTTTGGTCTTCTTTTGAGTCATGACCACTGACATGAAATTGAAGATGATTATTGCTGTGAATAAAATAGATTCAACTTTTGCAGCTACGAAAGAAAAACCTGAAAACATTTGGCTTGTGCAAAATTAGAACTCTTGGCCTCTGCAATACCAGGGCAACACCTATGATCTAACAATTTTATGTAGGTCTTTCAGCAGAAACTGTCAAAACAAAAGAAACACAGGAACCCAAAAATAAGGTTCCCTTGCAACATTGTAGTTTGGTTGTATTGTTTGCTTTGTTTTACATAATTTGTGCCTCAGTTCCTTCAGAACAAGCAAAATTAATTAATGAATTACATCTGTACAACACATCAAACAGAACAAAACCAAGCACAAAATAACCTTCTGTTAAAAAACCTCTTGAACTGTACCTGTATCATGATTTCATTTTGGTGATCCAGCATTAGTTCACGAGGAATTTCAAATGCAGGAGTCCACTCGCTATGATGATCTTCAGGTGGTGGAGGAACAAAGTTAGGATGAAAATGACCATCAACATTATGAGGAAATGGCTGACCTCCTCTATCGTAAGGCAGGTCGTGGAAACCTTCATGTAAGATGGGTGGAGGGGTCATCCTTCCAGTATTAGGGGAAGCCCCTTTCCTATTTCGAAGCTCATTTATTTCTACATCTGAAAGCAAAGGTCTTGGTTTCTTTGGGAGTGGTTCACCAGTGGGCTGGTCCCAAGGTTCATCATGGAAAACTGGGCGAACATGTTCCCTGGGATGAACATGATCTTCATTCATCTCTGTTTCTCTCAACTGGGGTTTGATATTTTCAATCCTATCTCTTTCAGATCCTATACCCATTAACCTCTGTTCAGAAATGCCTGGTCCTCCACTATTCAAAATTTCATCATGGTCTTTTCCTCTGACATACACTATATGATCTTTTTTCCATTTACCGCGGGGTGGAGGACGATCATTACGTGGCACAAAGTTATCCACTCTTCTATCAATGTCACTGTTCCAGTCATCAACTGGTCTATCATTTCTTTCTCCTCTCCTTGCAAACCTAGGTTCATTTTGGAATTCTAAATTTTGAAATCCATCATTACCAGGGTCCCTGTTTCTATCTTGGCCTCTTCCTCTCCCACTCTTTCCTCTTTCCCTTTCCTTTCTTTCAGCAGATCTTCTTCTTGCTTTGCGTGATTTTCCTCTACCACTTGAAATCTTTGGCTCCTCAGAAGTGTTCTCATGACCTGAAGCATGAGTTGACCAGTCTCCCGAATTTCGCCTTCTATGGCTGTGTTTGGGTCTGGGTTCTGAGTGAAGATCACCATATTTTGGACTTCCTGTAACCTCCCTCTCCAGTTGAGCTACTGGTTGAACTCTATTCGTGTTTCCAACAGGAGGTTTGTCAAAAGCCATGTGCTGAAGATTCCTGGTTTCTTGGAACTGACTCATCTCAGATTCTGCCTGTGAGAGATGACTTGAGTGTTCCTCAAGTCTACTTGAAGTGGGCTCAAGCTGATGACTATGGTCAACAGGTACAGGTAAAAGTTCTGGATTTTCAACCAAAAACCTTTCTTTTACAGGTTGTGTTGTTGTCTCTTGCTCACTCCGACGGTCACGGAGACGCGGATCTCTAAGAGGATCTATTGGATTACTCTCAGCCAATTCTCCTTTGGTCAACACTGTTCCAACTGTGCTGCTGGGTGGCTGTTCAAAATCAGCAAAATAATCTGGTTAGATTTGCACAACAGCATTTTACTTCATAAAAACAACTTGAAAATATTTAGCCTTAAAGTGATTCATATACATGTAACTCAGAGGAAGACAGATTCATTCCATTCCTTTTAATTACAACTGTTCTAACAATGGAGAAAGAAAAATTATAGAAAAGATTGTTAAAAAGATGTTTATATATATGTTGAGAATTCAATTAAATCATGTCAGTCTGTAGTTCAAATAACTGGAAAATAAAAAAACAAAAAAAAAACAGAGCACAGGTACCCCATTAGAGAGTAAGGACTCAGGTTCCTCTGTGTTGAGCCTTAGGTGAAGAATATCCTGTTGTTGTTGCTGCATAAGCAATTGCCTCTCTTGCTGCTGTTTCTTAAGCAAAAGATCTCTTTTCATTTGGTGTTCTTGGATTTCAAGTTCAGTCAACTTCAACTGCTCTTGTTGTAATCTCTCTAGTTCTAGCAAACGTTGTTGATGGCCCTCGACAACATGGTGTTCCTCTGGTGTTGATATTTCGGCAGTCAATGAGGCAACCCCACCAGCATTCTCTGCCTACAAAATTCACAACAAGTGACAATGATATACTGGAAAATAATATTTTGTTCACTGTTATACTGTATAACAATGCATAAAACATTCTGAAAATAATAATTATTATTATTATTCATACAGTCATGATACCATTCGTCTAAGGTAAAGACCTGATTTCCAAGATGTGAAGATACTCGTACACACTATATGTTGTTGGAAAAACAATAAATGGCACCAAGAATCAACAAATGAGACAACAATCATTTCACTAACAAGTTAAAATCTTATGTGACCAGATAACATTCTGGGAAATATGACCATCGGAAGTGAAAATAATAATTCTATGCTCTCACCTTTTTCAGAAATTTAGGGTTTATGTGTATAGAAGGGCTTGGAGGAGGTGCTGCAGAAATAGGCCAGCCAGGATCATGCTTGTTAACAGAAACATCTAAGTCATGCAACATTTTAGCAGGAAAGTATGGTGACCAAGTGTGCCGTAACTTGTACAGATCACGTCGAGTCTTTTCATCAGCCTTTACAATCAAATCAAAACAATATATCATTGAACCTCACACTACTGATGCTCATATCATTTTAAAAAGTTTGAATTCAGAAGCAGGGCTTGAAATTAAAAGTAAACTGTTAACCAACAGGTAGTAATTTCCAAGGTTTGGTTACTAAACATGTGCCTAAATAACCCAGCACATTTAAATTAGGTACAATTTATTGTGAATCAGGGAAAATGTTATTCAGATATTGTCAATTTCCGCAAAAGGCTGATGTATTTCTTTTTCTGTTTTCTACTTTGAACAATTGCTTATTCTTAACAATATGCTTGTAGCATAACAAACAACACACAAAAAAGCGGGGCCAGTATTTATAAGCGGGTTTTTTGACGGGGACAAAGCAGCCTGTCCACAGTAATGAGGCGTCCGTATTAAGTGGGTGTCTGTAAAGCAGGGTTTGACTGTAATACAAACCTTTTCAAATACACAAGTGAATGTCTCCTCCATGATCTGAGCAACAAGGTGAAGGTAGTCACCACCAACATTCTTGACAATTGAATCAAGCAAGTAAAGAGATGGCAGTTTATACTGCTGTTGAACCTGTCAAATATAATAGCAAATTCACATGTGTGAATGCTAAAGATGAAAAAAGCACAAGCTGCGAGCTAAAAGGCTGTAGAGTACACAAGCAACTGTATTAACAAGATCAAATTTACAGAAAAGGTGAGCTATACCCAGCTGGTATATTAAAGTTATTATTGCCTGAACAAGAAGGAGTACTCACAAGCCACAGAGGGCCACAGTGAATATCTACAGCTGTATATACCACTCATACTTTTACTCCATTTGAACCTTCTTGCATTGTTTCCTCACAGTTAGTTTTATTTTTCAATTTACTTTGAAAATTCCGACGTTATAGGGCAAAATTTTTCATTAACCTTTAATGGCTACCATAAGCTTAAGCTTAAGGCATATTAATTTTTTTTCCCAATGGCTATTTGTACGGGACCCGTACACCAACCTGTATTTGCTATTCATACAGGATTAAGTTTCTTCTTGAAATTTATATGAAATTTCTGGTCAACAAACTTCCATGCAAGTGTAAGTATCTTTAACCACTTTTCAATTTGTAAGGAAAAAAATTCAGTGGCAAATTTTAAAAGGAAAAAAATTCAATGAGGCAACATTGAGAACCGATCCCGAGGCATAAAATCCATAGTCCGTAGCCTAACCACTCTACCACGGAGTACTCGCTGCCAGGTGGAGTTTCATTTTAATTCACATAACAACAACTGTAACCCTAAATAGAAGCTAACTGTTTCGAGTCAGTGCTTAACCTTAATTAGTTTAGTCAGAATCTCGTATGAATAGCAAATGCAAGTCGATGTACAAGCCCCGTACGAATAGCCACTAGGTTTTTTTTAAGTGACGCTGTCTATCGTTTTAGGAATGTTTGAATCGCTACCGTACCCATTACTTTACACCACTACTATGAACACATTCCTACAGAGAAAAACAGTTAACATGATTCTCAACACAAACCTGACGAATGCGAGTAGCGATCAGCTTTGTTATACTCGATGCATGCTGACTGTTCTCTTCCGCCAACATTGTAAGCACATTTATGAGGGGTTTAGAATTGAATGTCAAGTCTTCCAGTGATTCTTTATATTCCTCGCAGATATCATCTTCCCCAGATTCCATGATGGCGACGAAAAAAGACAGTGGAAAGACGAAAGACGGCAAAAATTAAAACATTTTCGACAAGGGGACGAGTAGCTGAAATTTCAAGATGGCGACCAATCTACAGCCTCGGTTTGAAACTAAAAGCATTGTGGGTAAAGACAGTCCCAGTCTTTCTCTTAGGCCACGAAGGGAGAGCGCTTTTCGATGGAACCAGACTGGATATGAACCATGATATACTGTAGAGCCCTGAAAGTATAAGAAGGTTAATTTATTCGGTTGTCGACGTTGTCTGTAGGGATAATAATAATAATGTGTGGGATAATTTTTAATCATATGATAACACACTTAAAGTTAAAGGGCCTTAGCCTTCACTTTTTTTTTACATGATCCCAGTAGCATTTTACGACGTAGAACTTTAGAGTTAGGCTCCGGGACGTAGAGGTAGCAGAGTAAGCAAGCAAAGCTCCTCAAGTAAGCAAAGCACCTCGAGCAAGCGACGCATCCCAAGGAAGCAAAGCACCTCAAGTAAGCAAAGCACCTCAAGCAGGCAAAGCACCTCAAGCAAGCAAAGCACCTCAAGCTGAAGCAAGCAAAGCATTTCAAGCAAGCAAAGCATCTCTCAAAGCACCTTAAGCAAGTAAATCATCTCAGGTAAGCAAAGCATCTCAAACAAGCAAACCATCTCAAGCAAGCGAAGTATCGCAAGTAAGCTAAATATTTCGAGTATGAAAATACATTTAAAGTAAAGTAGGGAGGGAAAGCATCTCAAGTAAGTTAAGCCGCAGCTAAAAAAAGGTGAGTGACACGAATAGTCCATTTTACAGTTACAGGTGGAAACGAGGCTGGATTTGACCTTGTTTTGATACAACCCTTCCTGCTTTGTTATGTAAATCATCTCATTCTTATGCTAACTAGTATTTTTTAAGCACAATTTCCATAAGAAAAGGAAAGAGGTTTGTATCAAAACAAGGTCAACCTCAGCCTCTCATTCATTCAAAGGCTAGGATAACTGTAAAATGGTCTATTATATGAACAACTGTATGATGGCTTGACATAAAATATTTCCCCGTTGCCGGGTGTTAAATCTCTGTACATTTGACGTCATACACCAACGCAAGTGAAGTGATGCATCATGTTTTGTTTGTTGTTTATTGTTAGCTGCGCAACTGAAAAAGATCTAAGGAAGTTCTGCTTGTGTCGTAAGAATGCATCTCTATCCAGTGGTTCTTTTTCTGATCAGCATCACACTGATGAGTGTGATGATGGAGGTATCTCAGGCCGCTAGGGGAAGAAGCGGTGGTGGTTCTCGCGGTGGATCCAGTGGTAGCCGAAAAAGTTCAGGGTCTAAATCAAGCTCTGGATCAGGTTCTAAGACAAAAGTCGGCAAATACGATCCCATTAAACCAACCACAGTTCGCTCTCCTGTTATTGTCAAGCAAACTAAGGTTGGTTCTCGCTCAGATGTGCTAAAAAGAGTTCTGTTTGGTTATGTCGTGTATCGCTATGCTTTCGGCAATGCTCCAGTGTATCGCGGAGGGTATCCGATGTATGGTAGTTACGTAACAATCCCAGAAAAAAGAGCTGTCAGAATTACCTATGGGCATGAAGAGCAGACGTTGCTGAACGATGGAGGAGACAAATGTCTGTCAGAAGATTCAAAGACTTCTACGCTACGGGAAGGTATCGGCGAAAACTTGGTGGAATTGACGACAACAGTCAAGTACAAAAACGGGAAAACGCTGATTTATAATAACAGTACCATCTCTTTGGAAGACATCAAAGAGGAGGATTTTGAAGTGATCACTCGAGCTCGGTATAACACAACGATAGTAGCAGGAACATCCTGTACTCAAGTGGAAAAGAAAGTTGAAGGGACGATGGTTACATTGTACGAGACAAATCCCAACGCAGCTAACTCACTTAACAGTAATTTGGCAAGATTGATTTTACTGCTTATAGTCATTCAAGCGATAAGCTAAAAGAAACATGGCATGTATCCCCACTAGAGTATGTACATGAGTATTTCGTAAAGTCACTGTATCGTATCGTAGACCATCTGAAGTTCAGCAATCGAGAAAACATTCGGTAACAGGCTTATTGGTGACTATCAACTTAATAACTGACCCGCAAGTTTTAAGTAACAATTAGCAGTAAATAATTAGTTGTGCTTTTCATATCACTTACAATTTTATATGCAAATATCATTAAAATAATTAAACGCAACCTTGGACGCTTTGACGCGTATATGAAAAGTTGACGTTAGGAATGTGATTCATCCTTTCGCGTCTTATACAACGTAACATCAGATGTGGGGCAGAAGAGAAGTTCGCCTTGGCAGTCTGCAANGTTCGAGTTTGAATACTGCAGAATACCAACGTTATGCAACGTCATGGGTTCGCAAACGCGGCGAACACTTGAGATGTGCGTTAGTATTCGGGCGTGTTCGCGTCTGGTAAACCGTTCGTCACTGTCGTGTTCGCGTCGCATGCGGACTCGAAAATTTGTGGTCATACTGAGATGTTCCAATGACAAATGATCATTATTGTTCGAAGCTGGTCAATATTGATCTTTTTAGAAAAGGATTCGGGAGTATGCCGTTTAGAATGCTTCATAGTATTCTAGGGTATTCTATTTGAATTCGGAAAAACAGTCCGGATTCTAAGTAGAATATTCTAGGTGTACGTCGCGTCATGCGTGCTTGAATACCTCAGGATATTATCGTACACTCCACGTGTGCCTATCCGTATTCGGGCAAATTCGGTCACGAATATGTGCCTTTTTGCGCAGTGTGAAGAGCAGACGTTGCTGAACGATGGAGGAGACAAATGTCTGTCAGAAGATTCAAAGACTTCTACGCTACGGGAAGGTATCGGCGAAAACTTGGTGGAATTGACGACAACAGTCAAGTACAAAAACGGGAAAACGCTGATTTATAATAACAGTACCATCTCTTTGGAAGACATCAAAGAGGAGGATTTTGAAGTGATCACTCGAGCTCGGTATAACACAACGATAGTAGCAGGAACATCCTGTACTCAAGTGGAAAAGAAAGTTGAAGGGACGATGGTTACATTGTACGAGACAAATCCCAACGCAGCTAACTCACTTAACAGTAATTTGGCAAGATTGATTTTACTGCTTATAGTCATTCAAGCGATAAGCTAAAAGAAACATGGCATGTATCCCCACTAGAGTATGTACATGAGTATTTCGTAAAGTCACTGTATCGTATCGTAGACCATCTGAAGTTCAGCAATCGAGAAAACATTCGGTAACAGGCTTATTGGTGACTATCAACTTAATAACTGACCCGCAAGTTTTAAGTAACAATTAGCAGTAAATAATTAGTTGTGCTTTTCATATCACTTACAATTTTATATGCAAATATCATTAAAATAATTAAACGCAACCTTGGACGCTTTGACGCGTATATGAAAAGTTGACGTTAGGAATGTGATTCATCCTTTCGCGTCTTATACAACGTAACATCAGATGTGGGGCAGAAGAGAAGTTCGCCTTGGCAGTCTGCAATACAGTCTGTATAATTTTTTCTTTCTTTGTCGAAATCGGTTTGTGCAAGCCGCGAGCGAAGCGCCGGCGTGAGAGATTCTCGCTCGTAGCGCAAGAGCCTCCCTATGCCTCACACACCTGCTCGTTCATTGCAGGCGCAAAAATACGGGCTGTTTTACAGTTTTTCTACCTCATAACCTTTCTGATCAGCTGTGTTTGGTTGTTGCTTATGCTAATGGAACGGGTTGTTTAGGCCTATTTTTAAGGCTTACACTGACCGCAAAAACTTAATTTGCCCGTCAGACGTATCACTTCCCAGGCGCCGGTATACCTGGGTATACCGGAGGGCTGGATGGTAGGTTTCTTTTGGTTGTTTGTGTATCTTCATCGCTTTCAGAAACAGAGACAACAACTGACCAAAACTATAACCTGGTCACCTCGGTAGCCGAGGTAAATAAAGTTGAGCGAGCATGAACCTGGCTTTTGGACTTTTGACAATGCCGATCCTCTGGAGGTCAGATGCAAGACTGTATTTGGTTAGACTAACCCTCCTGTTCTCACTTGCTATAGTTTTGAAATCTTGCTTTCTTTGCATCTTGTCAGATTGTCAGGTAGATTTTGATATTGCCTGTATTGCCGTCGCTTGCAAAAGCATGGATAATGCCTGTAGATCATTGCGTTCGAGGTACGAGAACGCAACCCCTAATTTGTGTTGGGTGTTCTGTGCGTTATTGGGCAACCTGTGCAATTAATAAGGGAGGTTTTTTTGAGATTTCATTTTCGTTCGTCCTCGTCGTCGACACACATTTGCCTCGCTTTGAGGCGCAAGCTTAAGTTTTGCCTCACTTTGACGCGCTAACTCATGTGGTGATTCTTGTGTCCTCGGCGTTCATCTTTCAAAGGTTTGCTAAGGTCTGATATTCTTCGTAAAGCGTTCATCTTTTAAAAGTTTGCTGAATCTTCGTAAAGCATACATCGATCTGTGATTGCTGAATCGTCCAAAGCGTTCATCTTTCAGGAGTTTGCTGTTAAATTTTACTTTGGATTAAGCCTTCATATTTTTCAGCATGGTTCATCACTGTCTTTGGAAAATGTCTGCGACTACTGGTGCATGCATCAAACCGGGTTTAGTTCGGCAGCCGTTGTGCCACAAAGTAAATCTACCGAGATGTGAAG